CTCTGTCTCTCCAGTGAGCTCACGTGCCCTATAGCAAAAATCTCTAAACAATAAAAATTATCTATAAAGTATTCAATGTCATACCAAAATAAGGTAGTTTTATTTTGTATTATATATAAAATTTATTAATTTATTTCTTCCACGAGTAAGGGATATAGAGACAGCACCACCTACAGATTAATCATGCTGTGATCTGCCCCCAACTTCTGCCAGTCCCAAATAATTGACATACCTTGTACTCTATGCCTTGTATGTATTTGTGTGTGTGTGTATGTATGTATGTATGTATGTGTGTGTATACACCCTGAGAATGTATGTGTGTGTGCACACACACATACCCACACCCATACACACACACACACACACACACACACACACACGCATATATGAGGGATTTTTGTTTTGTTTTTGTTGTTTGTTTTGGGTCAGAGGGTACATATACTTACCAGAGAAAGAAAGAGTGGAGAAAAGGAGAAAACATTACCCATGGGGCATAGTCACATGGCAAACCTTTTTCCTCCATTTCTCTTCCTTTTGGGATTTTGTGCATTTGCACACACATTCACCCAGTGTGTTTCTCAAGTCACTGGGTCCAGGACTTGAACCACAGGATCGGCCATGTGGATTTCAACTGCCTTAACCACCAGGCCACAGAGTCAACTCAGAACTTTTATTTTTAGAAGGTTAAGCTCCAGAGCCAGTGGTGGTATGGTGGTTAAGGTGCTAGATTCCCACATGGCCAACCATGATTCAAGTCATGGACCTGGCAGTTTGAAAAATATGCCAGGAACATGTGCATGTGTGCCAAGTTCTAGGAGGAACTGAAGAATGGATTGTAGCATAATCATTCCCCTGGAAAATGATTTCTTACTTTTCCTCTCTATGTCTCTCTCTGTCTCTTTCCAAGGAGTGCACATACCCTATGGCAAAAACCTAAAAATGAAAAAAAAAAATGTGTAAGCTCCTGGCTTGTTAGTATCACCACCAAGGGAGGATGATAATAAAACAAAAAGAGGGGCCAGCAGGTGGCATGATGGTTGGGCCACTAGACTCCCACATGGCCTACCATGGTTCAAGTCCCAGACCTGATGGCTTATATTCTCACTTTCCCTTTTTCTCTGTCTGGTCAAATTTTAAAATAACAACAAATAAAATTAAATAAACCTTTTTAAAAATGAAAAGAGATGGGATCAAAATATCTATTTGATAGTTCATCTTGGTGAAAGAAGATTGAAATTACTGACTTCAGTGAGAGGCTGGGCAGCTTTCCTTTGCCCTTTCAAATATATTCATGTAAAGCATAATGATACAACTTTCTGAAAGTACAGGAAGCACAAAGACTTTGTGTTAAGTTATATAAGATCAGCTACAGAAGACATGATGGTGAAACTAAGTCACCCTACTCTGTCCACAGGCTGATTTCTCTCCACTCTAAGTAGGTCTTACCACCTTTGAAAACTCATTTTCTATTCTGTAGAAAATCTAAATTGGAGATTTGTTTGTTCATTCAGAGCTGGGTAGTTGCAAGCTTTCATAACTATCATTTTATGTGTAGGACTATAGAAGGCCTATTGGGGATGCAGGACTAGCTTTCTGGGATCTTGAGTTTGCCCACCTTTTCTCCTGAGCACTGTCTGTATTTGGAATGGAACCGAAGGGTGACCTGCATAAAGTCAGTTTGTGACTGAGCCTTTATGCCCCACCCTCCAGAAAGTAATTCTTAGACAATTCTCAGGCTCCAGGGGCCTGGAGAGTATGCCAACTGGAAAGATGAGTCCACAGCTCCCAGCCATGACACATGAACTGCATGGCAGTTCCTCCCATCTCAACCTCTGGCAAAATTTTGCCAATTCATCCTCACACAGCAAATTCTTACCCAGTCCTGGAACACCCAGACTCTGACACGATGGAGAGGACTTAGACTGGGGCTTGAATGCAGGCTTTGTTCAGTCTCCCCTCCTCCAACTTGTCACAATGACAGGAGCCTGGAGCCATTTAACTGTGAAACAGAGATAAGGGATGGAGGAGTGAATCCATTAGGCTTATTACATTTTGCTGTGTTAGTTCATCTCCATGGAGAAGTATGTTTTGTCCAATATTATTTAACTTCACAGAGAAAGCAGTTCCTGAGTGTTGAATAGATAAATGTAGGTTGGGGCTTCTTAGCGGGTTCCAAGGGGGGAGGAGGGGGGGGGGACAGTTGTTCAAGGTAAAACATGGATATTGGTCCTTGCCAAGACAGTAAGTTCTCTGGGGATTTCTGCTATCAAAAGCTACCTCCTGGGAGAACTCCAACCTGGGGAAAAGGTACCCTTCACTACATACGAATGTGACTAAATGCTGCTAAATTGTGCTAAGTAGTTTGTTTCTTGGTTTTACTTTTCTCCAGTCTGAGAGGGATATTAGACATGTATGGAAGGAAGGGAAAACTGAAGATTCCCAGTAGTTGTAAGCATTGCTCAGCACCCACTAACTAGTGGTTGCAAACCATACCACATAACTTCCACTTCTCCTCAGGACCCCTCTTCCACCTCACAGGTGACTTACCTCTCGCTATCCTAACAAGTACTTCCCCTTTACAGTATGGTGATCAGTGAGGACCAGATCCATCTTGAGAAGTGCCTAATATAAGTACATGTTGGACAATCTTAATCCAAAAGCCTGAAATCAAAAATGCTCCCAAATAAGAAACTTTGTGTTAGCATGATGTCACAATGGAAAATTCCATAGTTGATCTCATGTGATAGGTCACCCTCGAAACACTGCAATACAAAAATATTGTGTAAGATTACCTTCAGGCTATATATAAGGTATGTCAATGGAAATAACTGAGCTCTTTAGAAATTATTTAAATGGCTTATTCTAAACACGAATATGAGTGACCAAGGCCTAGATACATAATCTCTGATAGCCAAAAGAAAATGTTTTCTAGGTGCTTAGATGCAATGGCTTTTATTCAGTTCTGAGTGCAGGAAGCATAAACAAAATTGTAAGTGAATATATGGGGTGTTTATATTGGCCTGGTCCAAACAGATATAACATTTGGAAGTGGAGGTTTATAGGTTATAGGTGGATTCAGAAATTCTTAGGGTAGTATTGGTTAAAAGAACAAGTTTTGTCTCCAAAAAACTCAGAGTCAACAGAAAAGAATGCCTGAGTTAAGATATAAAGGTTTTACTATATATCATGTGATGCTATTCCAGGGTCAGAATATATAGAACATCCCACAATCACTGGATCAAAGTGATCTGTTAAAGCAAGATTAACATTTATAGATGTGACTCCCCTGGACCCCTTGGAACAAATCTTAGAATTGGAAGAGTAGTTAGAATTCTGTCCTTGGGACCAGCAGGTGGTGTGGTGGTTAAGATGCTGGACACTACCACATGGTTGACCATGGTTTGAGTCCCAGATCTAGTGGCTTGTTTTCTCATTTTTTCTCTTCCTCTTTGTCCCACTCTGGTAAAAAAAAAAAAAAAAAAAAAAAAAGTGAATGAATAAATAAAATTAAATAAATCTTTTCTGTCCTCAGATATATGTGAAACAGAAATTAATTTTTGTCTTTATACAAGGGTCCTATCCCCAAGATATCTCATTACGTACATGCAGGTATTCAAATGTTAAAAAAAAAAAATCTGAAATCTGAAATACTTCTGCTCCTAAGCATCTCAGAAAAGGGATACTTAATCAGTATGAGTATAGCATGCATTTGTGGAATGAGCAAATGAGTAGTAAATGGACAAATGGAAGAATGACTTTTTTTTTCCCCAAGAGTTTTGCTATAGGGTGTGTGTGCTTGCCAGAGAGACAGAAAGCAAGAAATCAACCCCCAAGGGAAATGGCCACACCACAGTCCCTTCTCCTCCATTCTTCTTTTGGAATTTTGGGCACACATGCACACGTACCTGGCATTAGTTTTAAGCCGTGGGGTCCAAGATTTGAACCACAGTCGAGTATGTGGGAGTCCAGTGACATAATCGTTACACCATCTGCTGGTCCCAGATGGATGACTTTCTAGCACTTAGTGTCTTCTGTTACAGTAGCCCATTTTCTTGTCTGTTTCCCCCAACTAAAATGGGCATTCTGTAAAGGTGGGAACCTTGGTTGCCTTATTCATCAGCATTGTGTATCTCAGTGCTAGGGCCAGTACCCTATCAAGAAGTATTTAAAACATGGAAGGATAGAAATAATGAGGGGATCCTGATCACTTAAGAGTTTGTCATCTGGGACTCACAAGTGTTTTGGTGGTTAAGTCATTGGATTCCCACATGACTGTGTTTGTGTCTTGGACCTGGTGGCTTGTTTCCTCACTTTCTCCCTTCTCCCTAGTGATTCATAGCAAACTTAAAATAATAAATAAATAGGATAAATTTTTTTAAAGAGTTTGTCATCCAGTTGCTGGCAGTCAGATGAACACATATGAAATAATCCAAGAACAATAAATGGCTAAACTAGTAGTTGTAACATTCAAAGATGGTAAAACTGCCCAGAAATGGAAAAAGGGTGAGAGTTGGAGATAAATGGCCTAGGGATGGAGAGAATCGCAAAGCTCTATCCAGGGAAGATTGGTCAGGAGGACAGACTATGTGGCAGAATTTGATGGGACAGTATTGGAGTTTGAAGGTTTCTAAGAGAAAAGGAAGCATTGCTAATGAGCTAAAGTAATTGGGCTTAGACTTATATCATCAAATGATTAGAGGTAAGTGGGAGCTTTAGGTCCCTTCTCCCCAATCCCAATATCTGGAACTGGGCTTCAGTGAAAGCTTGAGAATTCAGCCTCATAGACAAGCTTGCCTCAGCTGGCAGGACAACCACAATGACACCATTCTCATAAGCTTACTTCCAGGTCTCTACTTTTTAGGCACTTGATAAGTGCATTGCATGAAAGATTCCTTCAAAGGCAATGTTAAAAAAATTCTAGTGTCAGGAGAGTATACTAGAATTCTATTGGATCAAGATATAGAGCCAGCTCTCTATTAAGTGTTTGATATAACGTCAAAGGGAATCCTGGCCTAGAAATGCCCCTCCATTGAGAGGCTACTCGATTTCTTACATTCTTATTCCTAATTCTTGTAAGAGCAGAATTTCTAGTCAATGCAAATATACTAAAGTTTTCCCCAATGAAACAGTATTTCTAGTTGCCTTTCTGCTAACTCTCCCTCCCTCAGTGAGACTCACAGGGTATGAAAAAGTAGCCATCTTCTTTGGAGAGTTGATTCTTGATTAAGATGTCTCAAATACTAACTAAGCCCCTTGCAGTGTTTGATTAATTTTCTTCAAAAATAATTAACTATCCCTGGGATTTGGAAGAAAACCAGTGTATCCACCTATATGTTACACTGTGCCCGCACTGAATTACTTAAAAGCACCACTGTTCTGTGAAGCTGATGATCCCAGGGCTGGCTATGGCTGAGGAGTGGATGGTGGCATCAAGACCCTCTTGGAAGTGCTGTCTTTATGTCTGTCTCAATCATAGAAGGAAGTAAGGGAGGGAAAGAAGGAGGAAAAGAGTAGAGGAGAGGAAAGGGGGTAGGAGGGAAGAAGGGAAGGGAGGAAGAAAAGTAAACTTTAAAAATTATAGACAATGTAACACAGAATTATGAAAATTTCTGAATTAGAAGGCACCTGCATGTGGAGACACCAAAACCAGCTGATACAAATGCAAATGTGTCAGAAATATACCCCATTTCTCACCACCCATCCTCCTGAATTCCTGATTTATCATCTTTTGTCTAGAATTATTTTTAACTTTATGGAACTCAGTGGCTTAAAACCAATCTATAGGCTTGCCCACTCCTTAGAAATGAATTCCTAACCTTCCTTTTTTTGTTTTTAAGAGAGGGGTTTGTTTTGCTATAGGGCGTGTGCACTTGAAATCAAGAAAGCAAGAAATCACCCTCCCCAGGAGGGATGGCCACATCGCAGTCCCTTCTCTTCCAGACTCCTCTCAGAATCTTGGGCACTCACACTCACACACCCAGCATGAGTTTTAAGCTGCCAGGGCCAAGATACAAACCACAGTTGACTACATGGGAGTCCAGCAACATCTGCTGGTCCCCAGACCTCTTACTCTTTAGCATGGCTTCAGTGCCTCATAATTCACCTCCCAGCATTTTCTGCAGCCTCAGGTCCTGCTACTTCCTATTATTGTCTTACGTTACTAGTGACACTTGGATCAGGATGGAATGTTTAGGGTTGCAATCTGGCCTACCCCATTTTGTTCATACCTGAGTACCTTTGTATCTTTTTTTCCCCCAAACACTCCTAATAGACTCTTGATGCTGTAATCCACTCTAGCCTTTAGCCAGCCCCAGATCATGGGCATGCCCACATCCCTCATCCTTAGACAGTCTCTGGATGTGAACCAGGAGTGTCACCACATGGTATTCCCTTGTAGGATGTTACAATTCACTGCTGTGCCACAGTCTTACCCCCTTGTACATCTTCTCTTTTTTTTTTTTTGGAGAGGTTTTTGGTTTTTTTTGCTATAGGTCGCATGCACTCAACCAGAAAGACACAGAGAAACAGAAAGCGAGAAATTACCCCCCAGGGAGGATGGCCACACCACAATCCCTTCTCCATTCTCCTCTCGGGATCTTGGGTACGTACGCACATGCGCCCGGCGTGAGTTTAAGCCACCGGGTCCAGGACTCCAACTGCGGTCGACTACATGGGAGTCCAGCGACATAGCCATTATGCTAACTGCTGGTCCCTTCCCTTGTGCATCTTTTAATCTGCATTTTTAAATAAAGTTTATTTTTAGAATAGTTTTAGATTTACAAAAAAGTTTATAGAGTACAGAGATTTCTGATAAGCCCTTTATCCAGTTTCTCCAGTTATCAACATCTATATTAGTATGATACATTTGTTACAATGAGCCAACATAAACATGATTATTAAATAAGTCCCATACATAATTTATTCATATTTCCATGGATAAAGGTGCCGGTGAAAACTACCATACCACCTACTGGCCCTACCTTAGATTTTACCTAGTGTTCTTTTTCTGTTCCGGGATCCCATCTAGAGCACCACCTTACCTTTAGTCTTCATATTTTTTTAGGGTCCTGTTGTCTGTGACAGTTTCTCAGAGTTTCCTTGCTTTGATCACCTTGACAGTTTGGAGGAGTACTGGTCACCTGTTTTGTAGACTGTCCCTGAATGGGCATTTGGCTGATGTTTTTCTCATGATTATACTAGGATCATGGTTTTAAGCAGGAACACCACAGAGGCCAAGTGCTATTCCCATCCCACTTTATCAAGTCCTGTCAACATGACTTATCATGTGTGATGTTGAGCTTGATTATAAAATGCATAATGTTGAGCTTGATCATAAGATAGCATTTGTCAGGTTTCTCCACTCTGAAGTTACTCCTTTTTCACTTTTCCCATACTATATTAGGAGGAAGTCAGTGTGTGCTTCTGATACTTAAGCAGTGAAGAGTTACGAGTCACTTTTTTTGCTATAGGATGCGTGCACTCACCAGAAAGACAGAGAGAGACAGAGAGATAGAAAGTAAGAAATCACCCCCCAGGGGGGATGGCCACGCCGCAATCCCTTCTCCTTCATTCTGCTCTCAAAATCTTGGGCACGCATGCACACACGCCCAGCATGAGTT